TCTCTCTCTCTCTCTCTCTCTCTCTCTCTCGCGCTCTTTCGCTCTTTCGCTCTTTCGCTTTCTCGCTCTCTCTTTCTCTCTTTCACGTCGTTTTTAAAAGAAGTACAAACAAATGTACACAAAAAACCTTACTTCACTGTGTACTTGTGTATTGTGGATACGTGTATGTGTCAGTGTTTGTTATTCTCTCTCTCTTTTTCTCTCGCTCTTTCGTTCTCTCTCTCTCTTTCTCTCCCTCTCTCTTGCTCACTCGCTCACTCTTTCGCGCACGCTCTCTCTCTCTCTCTCTTTCTCTCTTTTAACACTAATGGCGTATGTACAAGTTATATACAAACATTTCTTTGTTATACCGTTATATCAGCTTAAGAAAAATATCAACGTGGAACAGTGTACGATTCGTTTGTTTTACGAAGATAAAAGAAGGAGAACGTTTCTTGAGAGTCCAATGGCGACGTCTCAATTTCCTCTCGTTTCGACCGGCCTCGCCCTGACTGGTTTGCGCTCGAGAATATCAATTAAATAGAGTGTTACTCGAAGCACGGGAATCGTATGAAAACGTTGAAGCGACGCGTGTCTTTAAAGTCTTTAACGATTCTTTAGGAAAAGAAGTATTTCTTAAGAGCCTCGAAATAACGAATTTTCTTTTAAGATTATGCATGCATAAAGTCAGAATAGAATTACAAGTCTCTCATGCTTATTAATGTTAAAGCAAAATTCGTTTAGTTCATGAAAACGTTTATTATGACAATATATTTCGTCGGGTGTTCAATATGTTTAAAAGATCTGAACTTTAAACAGTATTCAAAACGACTTATTTTTATTACGCGTTCGACGTATATTTGAGTAATTATATTTTCTCGACGCTCGAACGCGTCGCCAGATGTTCGTTTCATTTCCTTATCTTGCAAAAGTCTGAAAATTTGGAAAAATTTAGAAACATTATATTCAACTCTGAAAGGCTAAAGCTGTTATCGTCTATCTTCCTCGATCTTTATCCACGCATACGAAAAAAGAATATAAAAAGCATAGAAAAGAGTAACAACTGTGAAAACTTTCGATTAGCATTTACTTAATAGTACTCGCGACACTCTCAAACATTCTGAAATCAATGTTCGTTCCGCAATCGCAAGGTTGAACCGAAATTTCCAAATCTATTCTAAAGACTAGATTATACTTTCTCTAAAATACAACCTCACAACAAATGTATCCAAACCTAAGACGATTTTTATATTCTTTTTTCAGTTCATCCACATTCGACTCTTTCCGTAATACTGTCAATGCTGTATTATATACAAATGTTAGCGAGCCTAGACTCTCAAGAACACCGATTTTACTTCCACGCGAACGTGCGTGATTCAAGTTAATTCACAGCGCCACACGAATTTTCAAAACTATCAAACGCTTTCCCACCGGAAGAATGCTCTGAGCAACCAAACATAGACCGGACGGGTCGTCCAAGGGCCTGGCAAGGCTGGGGAGAGAAAATTGACCGGTCGTCGTCAGGGGTACGCCTAGAAAGCAATTTCAACACGCGGACACCATCCGCTGCTATCAGTCGAAGTAGTCCTCGCTGTTCTGCACAATACCGTGTTTCTTTCTACAGTCCGGGCAGTACCACTTGCCCTTCGGTGGTACCATGATGCCGACACACTCGAAGTGAAACCATTCGATGCGACAGTCTTCGCCGTCACAGGCGATCATCTCCGAGACCTCGTCGTACGGGCACTGACAGTAACAGTAGAGATTCACCGGCCGCTCGGTTATCGGCGCGTTGCTCTCCGGCAGGCGCGCCTGTATTTGCTGGCTAGCCTCGACCTCCGTGTCGCTGGAATCGCTGCTGCTATCGGCCGGCTCCTCAGACTCGGTCGCCGAAGCCGTGGCGATCCTCAGGCTTTCCTGCTGGCTCTCGATCGGCCTGTACGCTACCGTCTTGCCGCCGTAGGACAGTCTCGCCGGCAACGGCTTCATGCTGCTCGGCACCGCCGCGAACGCCGGTGTCTCCATCTTCCTCCACTTCATCGTCGGCTGCTTCTCCACCTCCTCGTCACTGGAATCCCCGTAAAACCGTTTCGGCACCCGTTTCCGCTTCGACGAACGCTTGTTCTCCGTCTCGGAACCACTGCCGCTGATAGCTTGTCCAGTCCTCCCTATCGTTTGGGGCTCCATGACCGCATTCATCGAGTGCATATCATTCGCGGACATGCCCGGCACCGTCGCCGCGGCCATGCCTTGCTGCATCATGCCCGGTGACGAGGCCGAGAAGCCCGGATTCTTTTGGTAAAACGCTTTAGGAATGTTTAATTTGATGGACTCCATGGCCGGCACTGCAGTGTTCCGCTGCTTCGCCCTCTCGCCCTTTTTCCGCTTCTTCGTCTTTACTTTCCTCTTCTGCTGCTGCAACTGCTGCTGGTCCTCCGTGGTCCCGGGAATTGGGTTCGGCGAGGGGATCGCGGTCTCCGCGTCTGTTAAACCGTTGTTCAGCGGCATGGCAGATTCCGTGGATGCCGGCGCGACCGCCGCTAAGAGCAGAAGCTGGTTCCGTTTCTCGGCGAGCAACTTGTTCGCGAGTTGCTGCGGATGCTCGTCGTAGAAATCCTCGTCTGTCTCTGTCTCGTCGGTTTCCAAGTCGGACTCCCTCAGCAAAAGCTGCGGCTGACAGACCGGGTCGGCTGAAATCGCTGCTTCTCCGTTCTCCATCTCCGCGAGTGCTCCCTTGTTGTCCACGTCGACGGCTGCGGACTCTGCATCCTGTGCAGCTTCCTTTTCCTTCTTCCGTTCCTTGCGACTCGACTGTTTCTTCGGAGAACCATCCGAAGTGGAACTGTCCGAGTCGGAACTACTGCTGGAACTGGAAGAACTACCCGACGAGGAACTACTACAGCTACAGTTCGTTCCACAAGAACAACTACTCGAGTCACTATCGCTAGATGAGTCGCTCGATGACGTGCTACCGCTCTGCTTCTTTTTCTTTGGACTTTTCACCTTCTTCCGGTTCGGATCGCTTTCACCAACACTTTGTATTCCGTTGCTACCCGATGGGCTCTGCTGCGCTTTGCCCGCGTAGTCTTGATCACCACTTAAGTTTACCTCTTCCTTTTCTTCCGCTTTAGGCTTCGATTCTCCATCTTTCTCTTTGTCAGACCATATTACACAGTAATCGTGGTCGGCTAGTATTATACTCTTCAAGTATTCCACATCGGTCTCCGGTTCCTGTTCTTTTATCGTGAAATCGCTGCCCGATTCCTTCATCTGCAAACTGGCCGTGTACGTTTTGAAGTTATCCCAAATGCCATCCATGATTTGCGCACCTTGTTCCTTCTCTTCATCGTTTTGTTCGACCTCCACTATGCTGTCCGAAGGTGGCACAGGTGAGGCAGATTTCGGATTCACAGGAGACGCTGCAGTTTCTTCGACTGTTTCAGTTTTTTCAGTTTCCTCGGTTTTCTCAGTTTTCTCAGTCTCTTTAGATTCTTTCGCCTCTGTCTTCTCTTCCTCGGAGTCTGTGTCGCTTTCAGAAGAAAGGTTCAGGGGCGGTAGATCGTATACATCGACGACTTTCTTCACAGGCTCTTTAGGCTCCTTCGTAGAATCAGTTGCGGTGGCAATACTGTCAATTGAAACGATGTTCTCCTTTTCATTTTTTTCGTCGTCAATTGCCAATTGCTGATTCATCGAATCTGTCAAGTTTGTGCTAGTAGGTGGCGGTTCTTTATGAGCATTTTCATGCTTAGTCAATAGTTTTCGAGAGATAAAGCGTTCAGAACATTCACTGCACGAGTATGGTTGATCTCCAGAATGTAACCTTTTGTGCACTTTTAGAGCAACAGCTCTGGAAAAACTGGATCCGCATTCCTCGCAAACGAAAGCAGTGGGTGGTATACAAAAATGATAAATATGTGGCCATTTCTTCTGTAAACATTTCTTACACAACACACTTTCTGTCCCGTGTTTCCAAAATAAATGTTTCGTAATATCAGGCTTATTTCTGTATGCGATACCACATCTATAACATAAATGGTGCAGCTTATGTTTCCAAACGTGATTTGAAAGACGTTGCTGATTCCCGGTAGATTCTAAACAGACATCACACGCATGATGCCTTTTTCGTAGATGCACCATGAGCCTGAATGCAGATGGTAGACTTCCCATTGGGCAAAGGCAACACCTGTACTTGACATTGATATTTGGAGAATATGTGCCAGGACATAAGTGACAAAGTAATTCACTATAACTATAGAAAGTAGATTTACACATTATACAAATTAAGATTGTCTTTTGATGCATTTTCCGATTATGCAAGTAAAGTTCCTTGTGTACGGCAGAATGAAATCTACAATGAAAACATTCGTATGTTCGTACATTTGGAACATTATAGGTACCAGTAGTGCTATTATAAGAATCTAGATTAAAGAAATGGAAGTCTAATTCATCGAGGGACTTTTTTACTCTATTGATAAACTGTTCTGCTTGGATTATAATAGCAGGATGCTGAGGTTGGAATTTATGTTCTGCGAGCATGTGTAATCCTAATTGTTTACCATTCACTGCTATATGGCGTGCATGATTGCAGTATACGCAAATGGGACTAGCTGCTTCTATGCAATGTTTCAATAAATCCTCTATCTCTATAGTGTCCAATATTCCATCGACGTTAAGATCGATAGAAGGAACATCCTCTCCAGCCAGAACAATTCCGTCACTTGGCTGTGCTTGAGATTGTACATTATTTATCTCGTTATGATTTTCATTGTTAATTTCCTCATCTACCTTGTGCTTCTCATTTGTGTCTACCTCAGCTGTTTCATCTATAATTTCGTTTGTTTGCCTTCCATTTTCTTCTATATCCGTATTCGAATTACTTTTAGTTTCTAACATATTTACTTCATCAGTTTCTTCTTCGGCTTCCTCAATCTCATCAGGATTAGAGTCCACTACAGCTAATTTGAAACTATCAGAATCACTGTCACCATCATTCACCTGATCACTGTTATTATTGTCCCTTTCTGTATCTAATGCGTTAGATGTTTTATCTTCCATTAATGGGCTTTCAGCATTATTATTTTCCTCCGATTCCTTACTAGTATCATGATTTTCTGTATCATCGTTATTAGATGCAACAGAAAATTGAGAATTTCTATTGGTACATATTTTTATAACTAAACTCCTATCGGAAGAAGGAACAGCATTGAAGGAAACTGAAGATTGAGATTCATTAGGTATATCAACATTTTCTGTAGTTTCACTTTTACAACTTTCTTCTTTAGTTTGTAACTCTGATGTATGTAATTCGTGTTGAGGACTAAACAATGAACGATTAATGGGACTATGAGCAGGACTTTCAGGAGTATGTGAACTAGATTCAGATCTTCTGTCCAATGCAGCCTCCACTGTTTCATCTTCGGTTACATTTTTTTCTATTTCTTGCTGTTCTATATCAATTTTCTGTTCATTTGTTCTACTATTACTTTCCACTGTATTCGCAATCTCTGTATCGTGTTTGACTACTTCATCAGAATCCGATTCTACCTTATCAGATCCATCATTTGAACTCGCATCTTCTTTCTCAAGTAAGAGTCTTGAATTTTGCACGTTATCTGTACAACGAGAAACTTCCATAATAGTTTCTATTACACTATCATATGGCTTATTATGGCTGATTGGTGAACTCATTTCAAAATCGTTTTCAGAAACTTCCTTTTCAGTTGTTTCTTCTTTTTCTTCATAAGAATCTTCAACGCATTTTGAGACTTCCATTATTGTCTCGGAAACTGTATCCTTAATTACATTGTGAACTTCGTTTTGAGAATTTTCACCGCTATTTATATCACTAAAAGGTGGACTTTCATTTAATTGCGACCCAGTTTTATTGTTTGTCTTCCTTACATGTGTATGTCCTTTTTGATGAACAATGACACCATCCTCTATGTGTTTAGACCTATTATTTTTTATTGATTTCCTTGAAACTAACTTATTTCCAGTATTCACAGGCCTATCAAGTATATGCGTTGATATTACACCTGTTTGTGTAGGAGGTGATACTGCAGAATTTACTTCTTTACTTGTATCAACAGCTAAACTGCATGTACTTGCATGTGAACCCGTTTGTCTGCACAAAGTACATATAGATGCAGTAACATCTTGTTTCGTTGCTGGTGAACAAAAGTGATTATAAAAATTATCTGTTTCTGAGAAAACTTTTTCACATGTGCAACAAACTAAATAACAAGATCCTTTAAAAGCACCATAAAAATCTTCGACTGACGTAAACGCCATTTCTGGAACACTATGATTTTTAGTTAAATGATATGACAGTCTCTCTGCCTGGCCAAACATTCCAAGACAAAATAGACATATATGACGTTTATGTATGTCTCTCATGTGTAAAAATAAATTCCAATTTTCAAAATATGTGCCACACGCTGCGCACAGATATACCTTCCTTGTAATTTTAAAGTTTGGAGAATGTGACGCTGTAGATGATTCTGATGTGCTGGGCATTGGTGTCATCGTGGAATTACAAGTGCACAAATTTTGTTTTAGTACAGAACACAAATTTGATGATGAATGACACTTTAAACACTTATTCTTTGATGAAGGTTGAAGACCTAAATATTGCGCATATTCTGTTATTTTGCCTCGCTTGATTTCTGCCTTTTTTTCTTTACTACTCTTTGACGATACATTAGAGTGCGATGTCTGTGTTTCTTGCACTACACTTTTTGATGTATTTGTTTGAGTTTCTTGAGCTTGTGCCAGGATACGCTTCTTAAAACCTTTAAACACAATTTTTGATCCTGTACTATTATTCTTGCCTGGCGATTCTTTTAATGCAATTGAATTATATCGTAATAATTGTTTCTTCTCTCCTTCTATTACTTCGCTATATGTGCTATCGATTGAAGACTTCAATGAATTTCCAAGAGATGTATCCTTAAATTGTTGTTCTCCCAAAATATTCCACATATCCACAACTTTACTTTCACCATCTTCATCTTCCATAATAGCACTGCTTCGTTACAGCGGTATTTCCTGTAACATATAATATAATTATTAATATATGTATACATATATACATATATATACATATATTAGATTACTAATCAAATGTATATTAAGTTAATCTTCATTATAGTCAATATTAAATAATATAAAACAAATGTTTATATAACTATTCAAGCTTAACATTAATCATTACCAAATACGATTAATGTTTATTGTTATAATTATATTCAACAAAATTATAGAATTAATAAAGCAATGATTTACATATTTAAAAATTTATACACGTTAATTGAAACTAAATTAAATTAATAGGAATATGAAACTGATTATAAATGATACATATACAAAGCCACCTGTTACACTCAATGTGTATTCACAAATGTATCAACGTAATGAAAACAAATACAAGTTTCAAATCACTTTTATATAAGACTCGAACTAATACACCATAATTTTCAAGAAATAAATACTTCGTTTCACCAGTAGAGGTAGCTCGAAGATTAGACCTAACATTGCACATTACATCAATATTAACTTATAGAAGATAGAACTTTAGTGTATACTCTATTAGATAACAAGCATTTAATATAATACCTCTGATAAGGGTATTACAAAACTGAGCACATGGTATGACATGCAAGAAGCCCTTCGCTGTGACCATCACTCCACAATGACTGAGCCCCAGAGTTCCCACCAAAACAGATTACTATGATGAAACTAATGTCAAAATAAGACGAACAAAAGTGCACATCAGGCCCGAACACCACGGTAACGAGTTTTAGCAAGAGAGTATTGCTATAAGCTTTTGTTGAACACAAGGATGATTCCAGTGTAACGAGGGTTGCGTACCTTCCGGTAAACTCCGGCTCGAACGAATTGCTTGAAATTACGTATAATCGTACGCGGTTTGTAAAAGATAAACGGAACAATCAGACGCTCTTGAAACGGTAAGAAGTGGAGCACCTTAAGTGGTTCGTCGCGATCCGCGCCGAAAAGGTTAGTAAAATGGCGTCATATCAATGAGTACGGCTCCGTCCGTACTTCCAACACATCCCCAGTGATGCCACCTTTCATCATGTTCCACCATAACCTACTGTAGAAGAGGTTAGACGAGAGCCATCAAGACAAATAGAATTCGCAATATTTTGAATTTTTGATAATCGATGAAAGGTTTTAAATCTATCTTGGAGATTGTTCGACTTGAGCGCGAGTGCGCTGTTGTCAGGTTCACGGCTGTCGTGCAAAAACTCGAAACACGAAGCGACGGCATCTCTCGTAGACGCACTCATGTACGCCCAATATAGTGCCTATGCTACCCCCACTCTAAATTTCAACCTGACCCAACCAGCCAGAGCGTCGAACTTTGGATAATATGTAAAAATATTTGTTTTTTCCTTGCGATTGTATATATAATATGCATAAAATTACTTGCCATTTTATCGGATTACCAACACCATTGAACTGTTCACGAGGAACTATTTTTATATAAAAATTATGTAATAAATGTTTTCTATTAGAGAATACAATTGTTCTGTTAAATTACACAGAATTAGCTTACATTAAACATATCATCTTTTATAAGAACGTTAATGCTACAACCTACAATTCTTTGATATAGCATAAAAATATAACGTGAAATAATTTGTTACTACTCATTTCTATGTTTTGTCAACCTCTATACAATTAGTTTAATTATTCATACTTAATTATATTAAGAGAAACCTCAATATTTATAATAATACATATTTACAAACTTTGTATTAAATAGGTTCATCCAGTGAAATTTGTTCTATATTCGAATTACTCTACTTAACTAATTTGTGTAAAATATTAATACGAATTTTTATTAGACTGCTAATTATACTACTGATAATAATAATAATATTAATAATAGAAAAAATGTATTAACATATATATGCTATTGTGAAAGAAATACTCATAAAATATAAATAATTACATTGGCCAAAATAAGTAGTTGTCCATCTTACTCCGATTACTTGCGGATTATTGGTCGAAATGAAAACTCCTTCTATATTATGACATTTAATAGTTGGTTTGCAGCGCCAACCTTGTGCGCGGTGTTGCGGGTAATTAATCTGTTTCTTTAGCGCGCATTTATAGCGTTCGCTCCCTAACCTTATTAATTTTTATAGCAAATATTTTTAAACAAATATTCATTTTAATAAAGTAAATAAAATAGAACTTGTATTTTACTTTACAGAATTTCATCATATTTCGTGTCTACTTTATTGTGCTTACATGTCGTTGAGAGATACATTTATTAATATTTATTTTGCACATGTTGTGTATATTTGTATGCTTATATATAAGCATACAATAAAGTAATATATATATATATATACATATATATTTCAAGTTGAAAAAATTAATATACGTATTTAAAAAACATCGTAATTTTCTAAACTATAATTGCTATCCGTAATAATCTATTTGTGTGACAATACATTCTTTTACTCACATTATTTAAATTATGAAACATATTTGTGATGTGAACCAACGGTAAATGAAAACAGAATATTTTAAAATTTAAGCAATAAATGTCCATATTTATTATAACTCATCTATTTATTTCTATAATGCTATTTATCACACATAAATCGCTTGATGCTGCAAGTTGACCATTGAATATCACAATGCATGAAAGACATCTCGTTTTAATTACTTTTTTAAATAGTTAAAATGGGGCGAATAATTAAATACAATTTTGAATATTGTTTAATATATTGAATAAATTAAACTTTATAATATCTTATTGAATAATATTCTGTTATTAATCGTATGAAGTACTATAGATGTGAATGAATTTTTAAGGAAATTTACAATTAAAAACTTAACCATAAACACAAAAAGAATAATTTACATAAATGTAACATTACATTTCGTTAAAAAAACTTGTGTAATAATTAAATGCAATTAATTTCTAAATGTTGCAAATAATATACAAATTAAATTTAATTTTTTTACTAAACCGAATTGTTACTTGGTATTTGCAATTATTGTGGATGCGTCCAAGAAGTTCAAACGAATTTCGATTGGTTTATGAACACGAATGCATTAAGTATGTGCGTTAGATAGAATGTGTGAATGCGCCAATGCATAATATACCATCTCATTTATTCAGTATTTCATATATATCATTTGTTGATGCTATCACTTTTTGTGTATTTTTATGTGTTGTCGATTTACAACCAAACGTAGCGTACATTGTATATTACCAAAGTTGAGAGATTAACGGGAAAATAGAGCAAGCATTAATACAGCTCGTTCACGGACAGTCGGACGTTGTCATTTGAAAACGGAAGCCATCTTGTGGCCGAGCTTCCCATATTATACAGGGAATAATAGTTCAGCGACTATTTGTCCCGTAAAATTGTTTCGTACTTTTTCCATTACGTCTAGACTATGCATGAATTATTGTATCACATGTTTACATAGCCATGGCTGCGACGAGAAAGTTGCAAGGTGAGGAGAAAATGTTTCCAGCATGTTTACATTTAGAAAATTTTGTTATGGCCCTGCACCACTACAACTTTGACTTCAATCTTGCTTCGCGTTCTGCATTTCTCTGCCGGTTTAAACGCTTGTATTTGCGACTAGTAGCGGCCTATTTTTAACTTGTGTTACCTATTTGCATGCAGGCTTCTGTGCCTGACAGTTGGTACAGGTTGCCAGGGTATGATGGATTGGTATGTTCTATTCAACTTTTCACATGTTTCTTTAATAAAAGCTTCATATTTCTAATATAAGTTAGGTTCACAATTGTCTAATGTTACTATTTTATGTCAGCATAACCTTTTAAACATCTATTTATTTCTGCTGTGTGACATACATGTATAGTGGTGCGAGGTATAGCATATGTAAAGTATTCGCTAGTACAAGCTTCTAATATAAACTACTTAAGTAGAAAATATATTTATACAATTGTAGATTATTATTGGGTTTGTGTTTCTTTAATAACAGTTCTTAAAGAAGTTGCTAAAGAATTAATAAAGAGTACACAACGATATCTATAATGTTTTATTGCACCCATTACTTTTCCAGCTAGAATAGTTGTATCACTTAGATCTTGCATACATAGTCAGACGTTTGAAATAACTGTTTAACAATGTAGCTTGTTAGATATATTAATTTAGAAAGAAATGAGTTAAAGTAACGTGTGACCTGTGTAATATAATATTGTAAAAAGTTGATGCGCTTTATATTTAAATGAAAGATATCTTATTCTTAAACGGATCATCTTTGTTTGTTTTGGTTCTGTATAGAATTTTATTAATAGTATTTATAATTTATGTTTATATTTGTTGATAATATCAATTGGTTTTATGTGCTTTATAGATTATCATGATAATAATAATAATATAATTTCATGTAAACATTTCGATAGACTATATGAATAGTTGTTTAATTTTAGGTGAAATAGATCGGTGCCTTAAAAAAGTAACAGAGGGTGTAGAGACATTCGAGGATATTTGGCAAAAAGTTCATAATGCTACGAACAGCAATCAGAAGGAGAAATATGAAGCGGACCTTAAGAAGGAAATCAAAAAACTCCAGAGGTTACGTGATCAGATCAAAACCTGGCTTGCGTCAGGCGAGATTAAGGATAAAAGTACCTTGCTCGAGTATAGGAAGTTAATTGAGACTGTAATTGTATTTTAATGCAATTGTTTATTTAAAATTATTATTATTATTAAATGTGTATTAAGTATAATGTGTTTTTTTTAGCAAATGGAAAGGTTTAAAGTTGTAGAGAGGGAAACAAAGACAAAAGCATATTCAAAAGAAGGTTTAGGTGCAGCTCAAAAACTTGACCCAGCTCAAAAAGAAAGAGAAGAAGTCTACAATTGGCTTGCAAATTCCATAGAAGCTTTAAATTTTCAGGTATGAAATAGAAAACTACTCTTTATCAAATTTAAGAAAATCTCACTAATAAATATATAGTGTTAAATGTATACTGTAATTAATTTTGATATTTTGATACAGTTGGATAAATTTGAATCGGAGATGGAGTCCCTACTGGCAGGAAAAAAGAAAAGGTTAGATAAAGATAAGCAGGATCGGATGGATGAATTAAAAGCAAAACTTGATAAACACCGTTTCCATATTCGTAAATTGGAAACATTGTTACGTATGTTGGACAATATGTCTGTTGAAGTTAATACTGTAAGTATGCTAGTAAAATATTAAGACTATAATAGTAAATTAAATATGATTATATATATATTTATATATAGAAAAATTGTATTTCTTGTGTCTCAGATTAAGAGGATAAAAGATGACGTAGAGTATTATATAGAATCTTCGCAAGAACCTGATTTTGAGGAAAATGAATATATTTATGATGATATTATTGGTCTTGATGAAGTAGAGTTGTCTGGGGTTGGTATTCCTTCGTCAGCAACTACTGATAGCAACAACAGTAATGAGACTGGAGGTACACCAACCTCAACTAACTCTGGTACTTCTCCCATACCATCACCCCCATTAAGTTCTACCATGCACAACCATTCAAGTGATAGCTCTACGGATAATGACAAAAAAACAAAGGTTTATATATTATCATATGTAATTTAGACTCGTATACATATACATATATATATAGTAACTTTAATAACATTCTATTCACATATATTAATTATAATTGATAGAAAGCAAGTACTTATCAAATACTTTCATTTCAGCCTGTGAAACCGACAGCAGTCAGGCCATTATTAAATTCACAGGCGAGCATTCCAACCACGGGAAGCACTGCCACTATAAAATCGAATTTATTATCGAGCAGCACTCCAAGTAAGACCATTCCCATGACACCTAGCCATAACTCGCCTAGTTCTACAAGTCATCACATTGCTACAACTAATGCAGGCAACTTTGCCACAGTAGCTGCTTCGCATAGTAATTCACAAGCCATCCATTCTACCTCTAGTAAAACATCTTGTAAGTAAAGTATACGATTTATTGATAAAACATTTTAATTTTAACATTTGCTCGATGATTCTAAGATGTGTTTTTTGTCTTTAAATTTATAGCTCATAGCAGTGAAAATGGTTTGTTGTCGTCTTCGTCCACGTCCAGTGTTACCTCCAATGTGCCACAAACGATCTCACAGCAGCACAATAATCCTGCACCCATACAGACGACACATGTGTTACATAATCAACAAAATCAGAATCATAACAGTGAAACTGAAATTACGACGCCGATTCCACCATCTTCTTCGCCACAGTCGTCAGTTAGCAGTAGGTCTTCACCTCCGCCCGCAAATTCCTGCTCGCCAGCGCCATCCGCTGCCAATGGTCTCATGCCTAAGCTTCCTGATGGCATGTCTTCTTTAAAATCTATAGCCCAACAAGTAATTGTCCGAGCAGGTCTGGAAATACCGCCGTCCGAGTCGAACAGAAACATCTTTGATAGTGCTATGGCGAATAATAACAACAATAATGCCACTTCGGAAGTACACATTCCTCCTCTGCTTGGTGTTGCGCCACTCGGCCCGGTACCTCTTCAAAAAGAACATCAGATGCAGTTCCAGATGATGGAAGCTGCGTACTATCATATGCCTCATCCATCTGATTCTGAACGTTTAAGACCATATTTACCAAGAAACCTATGTCCAACACCTCCTTATTACCAACAGGTACAATTATGCGTGCAGGAGAATATCCATTTACCTTACAATTAGAACATGTATGCATAGGAACAAGCACAAACATCAACATCGATCATAGATCAAATCTATATTATTATCCGATTTATGATTGGAGATTCTTTTCTTCTTCTAAACGGATCATAAATTGGATAATCAAGTTGTTTACGGTAGCACTGAAAAATTTCAAATTTTATTTTTAAAAAAGTATTCCTATATGTGATGTTTTTGCCATTTGTACTTGTTCTCCCGCGCATGAATTCGAAATATAGTACATAACCTTGTGTTAGTTAACCCGACAAACAATGCTCTAAAGATATTTTAATTACAATATCTTTATTTTTTTTTGTTCTTCACGTTAATTTTATTCGATAGGTTCAACTTCCTCATTCGGACACTGTGGAATTCTTCCAACGTCTTTCTACGGAAACATTATTCTTTATATTTTATTACATGGAAGGTTCTAAAGGCCAGTATCTGGCCGCGAAAGCACTAAAAAAACAAAGTTGGAGGTTTCATACTAAGTATATGATGTGGTTTCAAAGACACGAAGAACCAAAAGTAATTAATGAAGAGTACGAACAGGTAAGAAACGTTTGATAGAAATAGTTTCTATAATTATTATGTAAATTTTAATTACGTAACATGTTATCGTTTCAGGGAACCTACATTTATTTTGATTATGAAAAATGGGGACAGAGGAAAAAGGAGGGCTTTACATTTGAATACAAGTACTTAGAGGACAGAGATCTGAATTAACAGTCCTGTTGCTCATGAAGTCTCCGAAATGCACTATTTCTGTACCGGTATTATCAAAAAATCGAAAAGACAAATTTTATTTTTTACAATTCTATATTTTCACAAAATATAATTTTATTTATTGGTAAAGCGTATCTCAGAAAAAAAGTAAATGAAACAAAAAAGATAGAAAAGCTCATGCATAACGGGAAATGAAGACACTTCATTACATTTCAATGTTGCGACGGTAATCTCTTCTATTCTTTTTCGAAACAAAGAAAACAAACTACGAATCACGCAATTGAACTAAACACAAAAATACAAATATTACAAAGGATGGAGTAAGTTAATCGGGGACAGTAAATTGCAACTGTAAAAAGTAATGATATATGAGAAGCACCAGAGACACACTTTTAACATTGTAGTGTGTGGTGTGTGATACAAGAGGAAGAAGTTATACTCGCTGGCGACTGACTCTGTAATACCAGTACAAACATGCGTGCGGCTCATCTGCCGCTCATGCAATGGTATGTCTTAATGTTAGATTATAAGTAGCCTTTTTGTATAAAGTATATTGAGGTATAAAATCCTTAAATTGAATTACTGTACAGAATGTGTAGAAATAGTGAATAATAATATTATGGAATATATTTTATTTCTCATTTAAATGAAACCTAAGTTGTTTCAATTTTTGTCATATCTGGCACATCTTTGACACCTTGCATTCGGAACATTCCATCCATTAGATTTCTGCCCTTGACCAGGTTGTTTAACTGTTTTTTACTGTATAAAAACGAGATTTTCAACTCGTCGAAGTCAAAAGCCTGTTCACTACGTATCTGCATAGTGGCATACTTAGAGTAAGCTACTGTTCTACACACACTTTGTCAATTCTGAAGTCTTGATTTCGTTCATTTTCAGCAGTCTCGACCGCGACATATTGTATTCATTGAATGGCGATTCGTGATAATCACTGTGCATATGTATTTATGAATTATCGAAAGATAAGGGAGAAAGAGAGGGAGAAAGAGAGTGAATGACAGAGGGAGCGAGTGAGAAAGACAGAGCTATATTGTACGAATTTATTTATTATGAAATGTCGATACTATCGAAAACTGAAACATTTTTAACGGGA